GGAAAAACAATCTTGGCAAATAACAGTCTGACAAGTAGTTCTTGTACAGATATGTTTGTTCTCAAACAAAAACAGAAACCTACAGCCACTTTAAACAAGATTGAATTAAACAGACAATACACAAGTTTTCATAAATACAAAACTCGTTATGTAGAATATGTAGTTATATTATTAGGTCTATCTTTAAAAAGGTTAAAATTAAATAACCACAACTATAATCAACATCAGGCATTGATTCCGATTTAATGTCTTAGACATTTAAAAGGTTGTTTGACAAAATATTTCTGCTGGAACATATGCAATGATGTTTGTGTACAGAATCTTAATTTAGCATTAACTCAAGGAAAAGTGACTAAAAAGTCTGAAATACTGAAGCGATTGTTTCTAATTTTGACGGATACATAAAGAAGTCGGGTAACACGTAAAACTTCTTTCTTTACTAAATTCTTAGCAGTGTCTAAACACCCCCCCCCCTCCCTCAGTCTTAAGAAAAGTTGTTTGTTTAAATACACCCAAAAGCACTTGGGAATAACAAGTAACTGAAAAATCACAAAATTCACTCCACCCTATTCTAGGAATAACATTTTGATTCAATTTTAATATTTCTCTGTTGTTTAAAATAATGATGCAAAAAGACAAAAAGCAAAACGTACATGGGACGAGAGAGGTTAAGATTAAACTACATATCAAAACACAGCGAGTCTGTACTTACGATTACATCTTTATAATTTATTAACGAAAAGGTTATTTATATTTGTATAAACAGCTGTATGTCTATTTTGAACTAAGAAAAATGTGAAGTTCTAATATCATACACATTTCTTTAGTTATATGGCACAGAAAGCCAGAAATCTAAAGAGGTTTATTTCATGTAGTTGCTTACTTATCTTTCAGTGGAAAATTATTACCAAAAGGTTAACTGCTTGAACGTTTTCATTAAAATGGACTATCCAATTAGAATGCGGTTGTTATATATCATGCGAAGTAAAAGTGCTTACAAGTTCCTTTCTTATGTACAGATTTTGGCATTAAACATTTCAAAATCGTCAAGAGTGTAATCATCAGCATTTGAACATGTTTATTTCACCGAAATTAGAATCTTTCACTATTTTGGCAAGATGCTGAAACTGTTCTTTTAATATTCTCATCACTTATACGATTACGTATTTCTTGAATAGCGTCATAAGAATCGAAAAAAAAATACTGTTTATGACAGTACAGAACTAATTTACACAAATAATTCTGAAAAAAAAAACACACTAAGTATTTTAATAAGTTTATAATACGTTTAAGTATACTTTCTAAACGTTTGTGAAATTAGGTAGGCATTGCTCCTCAGATTAGTGAACAAACGAAAGTGAAATTTTATCAGTAAGTATACTGCCCATACAACGGTATATGTACACGCTGCCAGCAACATGAAAACAACCTACATAAATACAAAATAACCAAGAATCAACAGATATTTACTTATTAACGGGAAAACAATGTAGAAGTAGATACAGATCTACTGGATGAGAGTTCTAAACATAACTATACAAATAATCTTGTTCATATATATTTTTCTGATTAAGGCAGTGTTTGTAAAAATAATTACAACAATTTCAGAAACACCGACATGACCTTTCTTCTTCTACAATACACATCTAAGTTGGAATGAGCATTTTTAACTGAAAGAAACAACTCCCAATGGATATTTCTTTCGAAAGAATAAAATACATTTAAAACACCTCTGTCTGGATTTATCCAAGTTTTGACTTTCTCTTGGTTTGTGACACACTTCAAATACATTAAGTATATTTTAATTTTTTTTTAAATACAATTGATTTACATGTATAAATCCAGAACTGAAAGCATGATAACTGTAGTGGAAGCTTAAAAAGCCAAAACTGATATAGTTTAAAACAATACAAACTAATGAATCACAGTTAAGTAAGTATCAGTTGAAAAAAGCAATATGATAAAAATTAATTTCAACTGAACTCAAGTTGCTGTAACTCTTCCTTCCTTTTTTCAAGTACTTATTACCTTTAAAATGTTGAAAAAAGTATCCACACACATATGCACAGGAGGTTTAAAGATAATACACTTGAACAACATTTTATAGAAAAGTTTCAAGCAGCAAAATTAAACCATCTATCTCAATGTTTAGCATTAACATAAAAATCATTGCAGTCACCAAATCACTTTCCAAATACTTCAACAGAAACTGAACCAAAGATTCACCTCTTAAAGAACAAAATCCATACAAAAATATTTATTACTTGTATATTACTTCTTCAAGTTCTTGGAGATATTCAAAGATATTCTTCTTAAGTAATGAAACTGCAATCATGTTTGAATTCACCTTGCCAAGAAATGTAAAATTACCATCAGATTATAAACACTGTTTCCAGTTTCCACTGTATATGAGCTAAGTTTTAGTTTAACAAAAAACTACAGTAAAAAACTAGTACCATACCTGATGGGCAATCTGTTTAATTTTAATAAGCACAAAGAATTGCGAATATCTTAAACGTAGTTAATCTATGATTTAAATTTACCAAGTGTCAGAAATAATGCGAGTTCAGAAACAAAGCATACTAAAATCTGTTGCTTTCACAGATATAACTGGAAGATTTCACACTTTGTATTACCTTCATATCCTGCATCCAATCCTTCTTGCCTCATTTTACTAGTCTTTCTAATTATTACAGTAGTACTGTAATTTACCATGCTTAAAATACCCAGAAAGATGTGTAAGAAATTATACAGATTAAAATTAAGAAGAGGTAGTATAGTAATTGTACACTTTTTTTACAGCAAGATAGAAAGATTGAGATATTGCACATCAGCAAAATTTTAATACTCAAACCAGGCAATAGTTATCAGTTATTTTTTCCCCCTTTCTTCATGCTGGTTCAGTTGAAATTTGATTTCATACATATGTGTACGTTTGTAATAGTTGTTACTAAATCAGTAACTTATTTAGCTGTTTAAATGCAATGAAATATTTGTAGAAAGTTTATTGTAATCTTTTTTTTTTGGACTGTCTGGTTTTACCCAACTAATACTTAATAGTTATATTAAAATAAATCATCTTTAGAAACAAACAAATTTACACGTATTTTGAAATATTTTCACTCTATTAATTACAATGCATGAACCTATTTTTTTAACCTTTGAGTAAATTACCATAGTATTCATTTTTACATCCATTGTTAAAAACTGGTTCATTTAAATAACTTTAAAATGCTACCATAAAAATATATAAAAAACTGCCAAAGCTATGAATAAAATTTCAATATTAAAGTACAGATGAATTCCATGAAAATCTGAAATATGAGCTAGGCTTAACAGCCTTTAACATAAGAATGGCAAACTGCACTACCCATGATTGTGTAACACTTTGAATTGCAACCTCACAAATTTCAGAACCAAGAAACTTTGACAGAATATATTACAAACTAAATAAAAAGCTTTGTGACCATTTATTTCCATGTAACTCACTTATTATGCTTCTTTGTTTTTGTTTTGTGTGTGTGTGCAAAGCTACACAACAGGCTATCTTTGTTCTGTCCACCATGGTAATCAAACCCTGGATTTTAACATTTTAAGTTTGCCACTGAAGGACTTGTAATTTATACTTACATTAATAATTATCCAGTTTTAAAAACAATATTCCAAACTTTTTTTTTCTAAAATATATAAAGAAATATTTAAACTCTTTCTCCAGTGAATTGTTTTGTTCCTGAAATTAAAAAAATAATAATTTCAAGTTTTATTTTGCTTTGTCATATTTCTGGATTCAGCTTGAAATGCATTTCTTAGTTACAATGAATTTATTTATTTTTTTTAAATTTTCAAAAATACTGACTGGTAAAAGTTATTGTGAAATTAAATGTATGGCATTTGATATCCTGCACAACTCCTGCCCTCCTTACAAAGAAATCTCACAGGTAATACTATTGCTTAGGAAGCAAAATATTATGTGGATGGTCATTTGTATCTGTGTTGATGTAGAATTATTTTCTATGAAGTAAGAATAAGCCCTATTGGAACAATTTTGTTATTAATCATATCTAGCTGTCTTATGGTGAAAATATTCCATATCAGATGTGAACTACTGAAACAATTTTTGTGGTAAACACACATAACTGTCTTATGTGTTGGAATTATTCCACATCAAGTCTACACTCCACAAAGTTTTTTGGTTAGCCACATACAGCTGTCTTATGATTAAAATATTCCACATCAAATGTACATTACTGTAGATGGAAATATTCCCTGACAAGTGTGCACTATTGAAACAAATCTGTAGTATTTGCTACACATACCTTTCTTTTTCTGGAAATATTCCATATCAAACATACATTACTGTAGATGGAAATATTCCCTGACAAGTGTGCACTATTGAAACAAATTTGTGGTGTTAGCCACACATACCTTTCTTGTTTTGGAAATATTCCACATTAAATGTACATTACTGGAGTTGGAAATATTGCACAACAAGTGTGTACTGTTGAAACAGATATATGTGGTTAGCACATGTACCTGTATTGTGGTGGAAATATTAGAGATCAAGTGTACATTTTAAATGTGGAAATATTTCCATGTTAAGTGCACTGGAACAGTTTTATGCTTAAATATGTTTGCTAAACATACTTTCTACTTTCTGTAAATTACAGATGTAATGATATAAGTTTACATAAACTTTTTTTCTGATAACTGACCTACACTCAACTTAGTTTTAAGCTGGCTATTAAAACTGGTAGTAAATAAATCATGTTATTTATCAAGTATTATTATACAAATTATAAAAACATTCAACGAATCTAAAAGTCATACACTGTCTATATTAACACATCAAAGAACCCTGAAATTATCAAAATCTCAGATAATTAAATATTCTACGACCTTGACGTTTACTTGTGGGTAAAAAAAAAGATAACGTAAGAGTACACTCAACAATGTTTTATGATTAAAATTAATCACTGTATTATTTTACATTTATCTTGTATTTTTCTTACACTGAATCAGTGTGAATAATAAAAAACTCGTACTACATAACATTTACACTTAAAACACAAATTATGGACCATTTCCTATCATCTGTGATGTGTGAACTTAAACTTTTTTTTTTCACGTACTAGTTCAAACCATATAACTCTTCCTGTAAATGAAATTCATATCTTTTAATATTCTAAACAAAAGTTAAACACAAATTAAATTTGTTTGATTTTGTTTAAATATTTGTATCTAGTTAAGTAAGCTTGTACTAACAAATCACTGATTTCTTTAACAGACATACATACAAACAAAATTAGCTCTTCTTGTCACTCTACCTTACAGAGAATCTCATCATGAAACATATAAAAAAAAAGTAACATAATTCTTACAAAAACACCACTTCACATACAGTACTATTTAACAGTACTTGTACTTACAAGTCTGATAACTTAATGAAATGGCACTCTACCTTACAAAATTGCATATTTTACAGTGACCATCCTTCTGCTAGAACAGCAGTAGTACAGTTTATGATAAATGTAACTTTATGTTGTTGTACTGGAAGCTCATTTCCCTAGAAATCTCCATTCATCAGGAGCTTGATTTGTGCCTGTTAAGCACTAAATCTCAAAAATCTTTTAAAAAATTTTCTTAAAGGTGAGGGAGGATATCTCACTCCAGGCTTTCTAAAAGAATAGCCTTGACGCAAGGCTTTGCATTGTTGGCATGCTTCAAAAGACTCCTTTTAAATGAATGACAGTGTAGATAGATTCATACTGATTTGGTTTTGTCAACACTGCCACTGGCTGCCACTCACGTTTCAAATATTTTGACCTCCACATGCAATTGCCTCCTTAGAGGAGATGGAGAAGGCCTGTATTACTGAAGCTGACAATGCTCAAAAGTTGAGGTAGTATTGGCCTTAAAAAACTTTAAAGTCTTGGCTACTATTCAACTTTAGTAAAGTTTTCTTCACCCGTAAGGAGGTAAGTCTGACAGATGGATTTGAGTGCCAACACTCCTGCATGATTTTACTGATTGTTTGAAGGACCTATAAAAATAAAATCATACAAAATATACATACAAAGATATACTACATAACATTTTTCAAAATAACCATGCCTTTTTCCATATATATTAACAGAATTTTTAAATCTAATTTTCAGTTACACAATGGTTTTAGCTTTTTTTCAATATTATTTGAGAAATTATGATTATAAGACAGGAAAAAAAATTCTTGAACCAATAAAATTAACAAGCAATTTCTTTTTCATTTAAAAAACAACATATTTGTAGTTGTAAAATAAAATGTAGGCTCTGTAACATTAAGCTAATCTGATATATTAAGAAAAGTTCATTTTAAGCTAGAAAATAAAAGGGATAACTCCACGATCAAGGTTCAACAAGAACTAAAATTTTTGTTAGAAGTTGTGTTGTATCTTTGATAGGAAAGGCTTGTAGCATAACCCTTGCTTCAAATAAATAAAGAACATGAGTTTTTTTACATCAATAAAAACAAGTACTAGGCATAATACGATAGATATAAATATTTAAATGTAACTTTTGGAGCAATAATTGTTGACCCATTATGTAAGAAGTAACTTTCGTAACAATAAAAAAGAAACAGGCATATGGCTATTGTTGACACACAAGTTTTAAATTAACTTTTGTCACAACAAACAACAACGAAAACCAGAATGGCTATCACCATGTAATAAATAAAACCTAACAATAGCTAATGTTGATACACAAATTTCAAAGTAACTTTAGTAGCAATAAAAATTCAAACAATGATTTTTGACATTTACTGATCAAACAAAGTTAAATAAAGATTCTGTGACAATAATAAAACAAGAAATAAAGGCTGTTGTTGATCCATGAATTTAAAAGTATCTTTAGTACAATCATAAAATGGCTTTTTTTAATGCTCAGTGGTGATCAATTAGTTCCATTATTCCATATTTAAAAGACAATTTAATGTCAGACACAATAGCTTTACTTCTTGATAAATAAGCTTCAACATTATGCTCATAAGTTGGATCCACTTTTGCAGGTATTCAATATTAAAGTCATATACTATAAAATACTGGAAATGTGTAAAGATGATGTAATAGTCAAACAGTTTTTATATTTTATCAACAATGCTTAAATGCTTCATTACAAATACATATAGAAATACCAATACAAAAATGTTTTCACAGTTGTTTATCATAAAAATGTTTAATTCAATTTGCATGTAATACAGCTTTTTGAAAGATTTTCAATCGAAACTATAACGGGGCATGAAAGGAGTCTCTTCAGAAGCTACAACGTATTCCTAACGCCAATATGCACCTAAAAAGTTTGATATTTCAAGACAGACTCAAATAATTTGACCTTCAGTTTATATTAATTTTAATATAAGAGAAAATTACACTTAAAAGCATTTACTTTAAACATTTAATGAACCTTTTGATTAGATAACATAAAACATTTCAATGCAATATATTAAATCTATGTCATAGTTTGCCCTAAAAAATCCCCCATTCTCCTACAACTTTATGAAACTTTTAAGTTATTTTACATTTTTAAACAAATATAAGCACATCCTCCTTTACAGTTTATAACATACAGTAAAATTATTTCACTAGCATAAGAAAACAACAGAAGATTTATATTTGTCACTTCTGATATACAGGTACCAGAAAAATTATTTTTTCAGTTTATGAGGAAATACAAATCAGATGCCAGCAGCTTCCATATATCTATATAATCTCTTCATATTCAAGACAAATAAAAAAGGATGGAACTTCATAATGATGAATCTCATGCTTTGAAATATGCAAGGAAACTCAAGTAAACTTGAATCACTTACAGAAAAGTCATAAAGGAACTATGTAACAATGATGATCTAGTTATTACTCCAGCTGATAAAGTCAATAAACCGACAGTTGTAGATTGAAAACATTACAATGAAAAAAAAATACATTTCAAAATCCCAGATATAACAAATTAAACTATGCTTGATCCAAAAAAATGGCTGAAAAGAAAAACTTCAAATGAGACTAATGCCAGAATTCAATTCACCATGATACAAAACTGAAATATAAAGCCTACCAAGAGCAAACAAGACTGACATTCCTTTCTGTCCTATTACTTCACCAATGAATCTGTTTATTATGCCATAAATATTATATTAAAAAAAACTGAAGTATGATTAACCACTTCACATGAGGGCCACCTTTACCCTCAATCCATCTGAACATCTGCTTAACCTTGGGCTGTCTTCTTCATATTTCTGATGGAAGCCAGAACTTGGGAAGACGCAACACGGCACCAGAAGGTACACTCTTATCTCCGGTCATATACCAGGTTTTGATTGAAAAAATGCTTTAAAAAGCTTCACTTCCTTTCTCAAAAACAAGACACTTCTGATAATGTAGATGATACATTGTATTTAGTCTTGAATGTTTGGAACAGTTTGAAATAACCAACACAATTCACAATGAAAGTGAAAAGTGCTCAATATATTTCTTTCTTGAATTTGGGAATTACAAAAACTGACACAGACATGGACACCAAACATTACAGAAAACCAACACATATCAACAGTTACCTATGCATTTCTTCCTGCCATCCAGGATGAACTGTGTAGATATCATGGAAACACTTACACACAATGTAAGACAAACCATGTGCCACAAGAAATTTTGAAAACTAAACTATTCAGCCTACTAAAGAACAAAAATCTGAAAACAATGAAGCTTCTCCACTTTTGGCTAGTAATCAAATAACAAAATTACAGACAAAAATGTTCACTACAACTATGCACTATGTTCTACATTATATAAAAAGTTAAAACCATTACTCAGCCAATACAACCTCAAAATATATTCCAATTTCAAAACAATGAAATGACATATAGACTGGTGAAAAACAAATTCAGCTTCATGCTATTGTAAACAGCATATTATGCTTATATGGACTGGAGTATCCTGTGGAAACAACACATTGGAAAAAAAAGAACATAAAGTAGACCATTAGATTATGTATTGTCAAGACATCTAACACGACTGACATTGTTCATTTCACTGTTTATGTATCATGCATGGAGGACAGGTTGAAAAAAATCTGGAGTTTAATTGCAAGCACAGCTCATTGCACCATCGATGCCACAGGCTGGAGGGTAAAAATTCTTATCAAAGTTCATATCAGAAAAAATTCAGACAAGGCAGTGACTACAAAAAGAGGAGTATTAAGGATTGAATTATGAATAAGGCACATAGAAGTGGTCCTAATAAAGGCTTAAACAAAGACAATAACACAAATGCATTCGGAGGCATGTGGACCTTAGTCACACACACACACACAAATAATTTGCAGAATATTTTCTTCATGTGTTTTTCATTCCTAAGCTTTCAACATATAGAAATATGTTTGATCTTCAGAAAAAGTTTCCGATTTTATTACCTGATGTTTTTTTTAAACAAATTTGTTATTATGTGCTTTTTTTTTAACTCTTAAAAACAAATGCATATGTAAGGTACTATTTCACAATTTCTACAATGGAGCATTACAGGATTCTGTAAACCAAAGAATGTTATTGCAAAGCATGCATCATTATTGAACTATGAAATTATCAACATTGCGAGTTATTTTTACAGACTTGCTGCTTTACTTAACACTACATTATAAGTTGAAATACTAACACTATTAAAATGGAACAGCAAGTTCAGATACTTTCTACCTAAAATGATGGCAATTCCCACACCTCCACAACTACCACCTCACATAGAAAATACACCTACTTGTGGTGGCTATTTGACAATGTTAATTTTAAATGGTTTAAGACAGCAACGCCAAAAAAAATTCACCTTGCTCTTCTTAACATACATTGTTTATAGCATAGGCAAGAGAAAAAGAAAGGCACATAAAATAAATGTGAGAAAGTGGTTGATTGAGAGAGAAATAATTTAAAAAATTGCAAAAGGGTTTCTGAAAAACTAGTATATTCCACGACCTGGCTTATTTGTAAAAGTTAATTTTATCAACTTACTTTACAAGAGTTCCACCTGCTAGGAATAGCAGGTCGAATATTTTCAACACACACTACTTTTCTCATGTCCTCAAAACTTGGATCTGATGATACACAATCATGGTAAGGTATCTGGTATTCATCCACAACACCTAGAAAAGTGAAGTTAAATATACAGTTAAATGCCTTTAATCTCAAAATGTCTTTAGAAACATAAAAAAGGTAAAAAATCACTGTGTTTTTAAGAAAATCAAGTAGAAATGAATATTTCAATATCCACATAATATTTGAATATAAATTCCTTCATCATGATGATTTGTTTTAGAAAATTTTTGTGAAAAAATTTGGAAATTCACTTACCTGAATGTATTTCCTTTAAATCATATACCACATATAAAATCTCTCTCAAATGCTGGCTTTAATTAGTAAACAAACATACGAAAAAAAATGTAGTTGAAATTTGTCTACCAAGTTTTAATTCTATTTTTATATATATGAACCTATGTATAGGAAGAATGACATCCTCACATCCTGAGCATTAAGGTCACATGTTAAGAAGACCATGAAAAATAAGAAACAGTCTTTATCATGTCATGCAAGTTAGCTACACGTGTACCACATGATTCCTGAAACCAATGACATATGTTAAAACCCCTCAGTTCTTATCCTGAAATTCTTTTCTCAGCTGCTCAAAAAAAGTGGTAGACACTGTTATGCAATAGGCATTAAAAGTGCTTTTTTGATATAAATTAATTAATTTTTCCTTAAATTAGAAAAAAATTCAGATACTTGGTTGAACACCTGATAATGGATTTGCATGAATAATTTTGTTTAAATCATAAATAAATAGACTAATCAAGGTAGAATCCATCAGTCTCCTTACTTCTCATTTTTCATCTTCAAGTACAGCCTCTCATAACTACTATTCTTAGATACAACACATGCACCAATTGTAGTAAGATTGTTATTTTTTAACTTACAGACTGGAATATATATTACACAAATCAAGTTTGTGTGATACCCCCATAAATATCTATAAAGTTGTTTTGAAGGCTCATTGAAACAAAGGAAAATGTGAACATTACTTAAATAGTCAACTACATGGAAAATACTATACTAATTTGAATATATTATAAAAACCATATATATTTATACATCATATGAAAATGCTACAGGTTCAATTTAAAAGATTTTTTGGGTGATACAGCTAAAACCAGAATTTTTTGCTTGGCTAAGAAATGGTGCTATATACATGGTAACTATGTCAGTGGGTGTACTACATAACAGAGATTGACAAGTTCTGACCTCTTCTTGGAAGGGAGGGGGGGTGTGTGCATAACTTGAGGGTAGTAGTTATTTCATATAAAATGGTCATTTGAGTTGGTAACAAGGTCTATGACATGAAGAGTTAATCTGACTATGTGATAAAGCTTGACCTTTTGAGCTAGTAATATAACTTCTATGAATGGCTGGTAATGACTACTCAACAAAATATTTTGTTGAAAGTAAAACAAACATTAAAAATTAACTATATGTGAAGAGGAAAAGACTTGAAATTACAAATTTAATAAAAGGAAAATCTTTAAAGATATTCTACAAAATTAAAAGGTATGTATTTTTTTTTCTATTTCATAATTTTAAATATTTCCTTGCATTGTACATTGATGATAATAGCTAGAGCTATTGATATGGTAAAGAAAATAAAAAATACCTTATAACAACTTTTGATATTCTATAAGATCACGAAAAGTATTTTTATACTTAAAATAAAAATCACCTTGCACTCAATTTAAGAGTTTGAGTGCAAGTAATTACAATAGATAAATAACACATTATTTTTGTAAAAACAATTACAAAAATGTCATTCTTGGTGTACAAGATTCATATTATCTTTAACAAAGTCTTACCAGTTTTTGAGAGGACATGTTAAGAAATCTTAGAGTTACCACATGTATTGTTGTACAAGTGAAATTCGTGACTCGATTTCCACAAATTACATGAGCCTGACGTGAAAGAGTTAAAGACCTTTATTATCAATATACATAACTAAACTTGGAATCAAACTATAGTTTATAATTCTAATTTGAATTTCTTTAATTGGAAATTTAAAAAATTCACAATCTTTACTGTGTAACATAACACATGTGCACTCCGATTTAGATTTTATAACTTCAACAACACATCTTCTACAGTGCCTAACTAATTAGAAACACAAACTAGACATACTGACAAGGATGAATATAAATTCTGAACCTTATAACTGCTTAATTTGCTGAGATATCAATATATTTGTCAAACCCATTAGAGAAGACTATCCTATATTTTTATGCATTTCAAATCTATTATTCACTCATGTCTAACTGTCTGATGGACATGTTTAAAACCACTACAAAGAGCATACTAAAACAGTGTGCAAAAATCTTAAGTTTATTTGTTTATTTTTGGCAGTCAAAAATAATAGTTTGCAAGAAAATCTTGATGCGTGTTGGGTAAAGTTGTTGCTTTGAACAGTAATAGAATTCTTTAAACTAGTTATAGCTAAGTTAGAAAGCCAAATAAACTATACGAGTTTTGGAACATTCTTTTCCAGTGCCCAATATATTTTGTGTGTTCTAAAATGCACAGTTGAAAGCTACACGAATTATTTTATAAAACGACTAACATAGTGAGAAAAAAAAAGTAGGGTTACTGAAGCACAGAATCAAAGTGCAAATAGCTCCAACATTGAAGCGAGTGTTAAATTTTCCATTTTCTTATCTATATTTTTTAACAACAGTAATTAAAATATAAAAATTAGGACTATCTTAGGTTAAGTAAAAAAACAAGGAAGATCAGTTGTTTGTTTGTTTTTTGAATTTCATGAAAAATCTACAAGAGAGCTATCTGTGCTAGCCATCTCTAATTTAGCAGTGTAAGACTACAGGGAAGGCAGCTAGTCACCACCACCCACCGCCAACTCTTGGGCTACTCTTTTACCAACGAATAGTGGGATTGACCATCACATTGTAGCATGTTTGGTGTGATGGGGATTCGAACCTGCCGACCTGCAAATTGCGAGTCGAGCGTCCTAACCACCTGGCCATGCCGGGCAAAGATCACTGTGTTATATTGCTTTTCACTACAGAGAGGGTCAAAAGTACAATATTAAAAACTATAAAATTAAAAGAAAGCAGATGTGAAAAGATTAGAAACTGAGGCTGTTTGAATAAATAATTAAAACTGTTTGTTACAATCTACATTCATTCTGTATAAAAAAAAAAGTATTACTGATTTTATTAAATATTTTTCTACTCTTTACTTCACTGCACGTTGATGATTTCACAACAGTTAGTGTAAGTGTACGGACAATAAGAGATGCAGTATAAAGTTTTAACAAAAACTTTGATATTCACTGAGGTGGTTGTAAAGGTTATGCATATGAAACACTGTAACATGAAAAATCATCTCGCAAGCAAACTGACTCAGTAATGGCTTCATTAACAGACAAATATTTAGTAAAAGTACTTCATTAAAAAATTAAATTTTTTCATTGTACAATACTTGTAATGTTTATTAAAAGCTTGTCAAATCTTGTGAAGGTACACTTAACGCATTCAGAGTTATAGTGTGTATAGTTTCACAACTAAGTGGTGATTACAAGGTTGATCAGATTAACCAAGCCTATATATACAGGTTAATATACACGTAATAAATTACAAACCAGTTTTATACTCATTTACATATTAATTTTTACATTTCTTTACAGTGATTTCCTGGCTCATTCAAGCAGTTACATAAACTGGCATGGCTTAGTGCAAATAAGACCTAACACAGTAGTCTTGTCAGCCAAACAAAATTTGACATAGTCATGTGCAAAATGATCTAACCAAGTCTGCCTCAATTTTTTTCATAATTTTTTTTTCATATGATACTTAAAAATCACATTTCAGATGAGGTATAAAATGATAAAGAAAGCTTTAAAAAACAAACAAAAACGAATCAGGACTGTAACTGTAGAAGAAGTTGTTCATAGACATCTTTTCTTCTAAACAACATATCATCAAGATAAGCTTTCATCACTTTTTTTCTGACCTCAGTGTAATTCACTAATAAACACAAAGTGTTATTGATTTTACTATTCAAACATACATAGAAAGTTTTTGGAAAGATAGGTTAATAAATCTCAGAGTTACTATATGTATTGTTGTACAAGCGAAATTTGTGTATCAAATTACACAAATTACATGAGCTCGATACCTATAACTTCCTGAAGGAAATAGGTAATTACATCACACTAAAACAACTGAGGTTGAAAAACAGTTATTGGCAAAAACTGATACCACTACACTTGTATCCAAGTTGCAAACAGAAATTAGCAGTAATTTGTTCCCAGCTTTTATGACTCTTCCATCTAGATTCTACAATAAACATGTTATACACAGAAACAATTAAGGAAATTCTCAAATACTAATAATTTTGTTGCAAAATCAGAATTTGCAATCTTTAAATTTGAAATACCAGATTTTCATAATAAACAAACAACACATTTTAAACTTTCACAAATTTTAAATAAATAGCATTTATAAACTTAAAATACATGTAAAACTTGACTGAAAATTAAAAGGGTGATCTTTTATTTACCATTTGTAACACAGCATCGGGAAATCTCCCAAAGAACAAGAGCAAAGGAATACATGTCTGACATCCTGTAGGAATCAAAATGAGAGGTGTTGATTGTCTCTGAAATAACTTCAGGTGCCATGTACCGTTTAGTTCCCACTCTTTTATTGGCAGCTATATCTATTTCATTTACTTCACTGTTGAGGAAAAATAAAAAAGATTTAGGATTGGTTGAAATAGTTTATCCAACTTCGCTATGCTAACTTTAAAAATTATCCAAGTCTAATTAATACCCACTTAATTACTTATTAAAAGCCATCTCTGGTCTTTAATTACTGTATAAAAGACAGAAGAAATATATGGTGCATTACAAGAGATTTCTAATAATGTATGTAATGCATAAATTCTATGAAAAGAGTCACACATGAAAGCAATGCATAAGACCATTTCAGTTATTTCAAACTTCTGCACTTACAACAGATCGACAAGGCATAATATTCATTGAAAGACTACCTTTCATTATGTGGCATGAACCTCTACGGCAATTAATATATGTTGCTTGTTTGTTGGCCTTTTACATACCAAAAATGTGCCATTTTTTCCTTATCCAACTGGTAAGCCTGATTTAACAGCTTCCATTCACAAGAGTTGAAGTTAAATGAATAAATATAACTATAAATCTTTTCCCAATACAAATTAGCCAATGAGACTTTATGAGAAACATTATGCTATGACTGAACATCATAATTTACTCCAAACAGGAAGTTCAAACTGCTGATTGTTTAGGATTACACTTCATAAACTTTCTTGTTATAAATAGGTTTGAAAATGTTTATAATACATTCACCTCTATTGAAATTTCTTGTTTTGTTTTTTATTGCAAGATAGTTGGCAAAGAGTTTTGTAAGTTTTTGGCTGGTTGATTGTTTGGCATTTGCTTAAAACAGAGCTGGCAAAATTACTGGATAAAGTTTCAGATAATGTACATTTATGTGGAATAAAAACTTGATGTACACTATTAAATAATATTCATTTTCTTTAATATACTTTCTGTTAGTTGGAATGGAGTAGCAGGTTCTTTGAAGGAGGATTTTTCAAACCAAGCTGGTTAAATTGCAAAGTTGTTTGTTTTTCTTTCAGATATTCAAGCAAAGCTATACTAGGATTATATGCATGTTTAACTTGATTACTAGGTACTTTACCTGTTATATTTCACAGCTAAACCAAAGTCTGCTATAGCACAAGTTCCATCTTTCTTTACTAAGATGTTTTTACTTTTGATGTCTCGATGGGCAATAGCTGGTTTACCTATATAAAAGCAATTTGAGTTGTAAAAGAAAAAGACATTATAAATAACTTAGCTTTTAATTCAACATTAGGAAATATACAGCATGAACAAATAAATCACAAATGAACAGCCTACTAATTCGTAAAGAAGGCAATAACAACAACTCTATTCCAATGGTTAATGGCCTGAAATTTTTTTTTTACTTTTCTCTAAAGCATATCATTATTCATGTGATGCACAGACCTAAAGACAATGTAATTTTTACCTTGCTTGCCAAACACCTCATTATGAAGGTGTGAAAGGCCAGAGGATATTGAGGAAGTCATTCTAAGTAGGTCAGGAACTTCTAGTGTGTGCAGTTTCAGGTAATCATGTAAAGAACCATATTCATGATAATCAGTAATTAAGAGTAACTGCGTCCATGAGCCTGTACCACGAATGTCAGCGGCAACAAAACCTGTAAGGTAAGACGGTCCACGTCAAAATATTATTAATTTGAAGCATGTACAATCATTAAGTAACTACTTTTTTGCCACAGTGAAATGACATTCATTAATAATTATCTTTCAAAATGCTCCTGTGTCTATAAGACATATCAAAACTTTGTACATGGGTTTCCTAGATTTGACCAATGTTGTAGCCACCATGAAACTATACATACTATAACTTTGAATTTACTAAGTGTATCATCACAAAATGTAGCAAGCTTTTAGTAAGCATTACGAGTCTTTTTTGCATAAGAAAATATTTTTAGTAGAGTATTTTTACTATTAAAGATTTATCTCTGAACTTATGAAGCCTTTACTGGGTCAGTCTGAGTGCAAGTCGATTTTCATGTTATGAACAAAAATATTTTTTTTTTCATTTTAGAATTTTCATATTTTATTTGACTATTTTATCGAACTTTCTAAATGAATATCAAATGTTTTTTCAGTAAAACCTTATATTTTATTTATTTTCTCAATCCTAACAGTAACTGTAGCAAAATCAGCAATGTAAAATAAAAGGAAAAGTTGAACAATAAGAACTAAATTTAAATTCCCCTTTCTTCTTTTTAGAATTACTATATTGCAACAGGTGTTTAAACACAATTTATTCTTACAGACAAAATAAGACTTTTTGAATCTGTTCATGTCATTTTATTGCTTTAAAATTCCACTTAAACACTCTCAAAGTACTTGTAAAGCTATTTATTACCATGAGACAGATTTGTGTAAACAATCAAATTACCAGCTTGCACATTCCAATTACACAATCACACCTTGCAATGTACTCACACTATCACAAATAATTTCTTTAATTTTTTATTTAAGTTTTTGTATCTAACCTTATAAGTTTCAAATTTTTACATTTCAGTAACTCTTATAACAATAAACAAAAAATATATAAATCCAAAACAAGAAATTTAGTAGATATGTGTGGAGGACTCAGTCTTTTTGTTATCGACTGGCAAAGCACTCAAACCATAATATTTTGTGATAATGTTGGATGTGAAAATTTTTTTTATTTCAAATATAAAATTTATTATATAAAATCTTACCATGCACAAAAAATAGCCATTGCAAAACTACTATAATTTAACTGGCTTTCTAACTAAGCCAAAAATGGTTAAATACATTCCATTAGCCACTCTTCACAATAGTAAAGAATGAACCTGAGGCCAAATAATTCAAAACTTGTTATCAGAATGAGTTGGGCTCATAGAGAATTCCATAAATTAAAATATTCTCTTTCTGTTGGTTAAAGATAATCCAAAAGTAAATGTCAAAGAGAATTATTGAAATGTTTTGATCAAACTGTGACAGGAGAATGTGGTATGTGAGTTTATCTTCCTTGTCGATATTTCAATAGAGCAAGAAATTTGGATGCTAGAAGATTGTGATTTGTGTCTAACTCAGAAAAACATATAAAGGTAGAAAGAAAATCTAAATTGGGCAATTCAGAGGGAAGAAGTGTCTGGTGATATACAGAAGTGAAGATTAAGAAATTATTTAAATATTTCCTTTTGATACTAAGAAAAATTTATATAATATTAAAAGTTGAATTATAAACTATGTTTTGATGCCAAGTTTATTGACATACATTGATAATAAAGTTTGGAATTTTTCTGTAAGAAAGGTCATGATATGCACACTTTGTCAGACCCAAATACACAGGGTTAAAGTAATAGTTAATCTGCCTACCGAAAACAATATCAATGTTAATCTAATGATGACCCAATTTTTTCAAACTAATAAAGAAAATAATGGTTTTTCTTATCCACTTACTTTCATATTATAGGAAATATGTACAAAACATGGTTCTATACTCCAGTAATTTTCAATATTTAAATACAATTATTTCAAATAGTGGTGGGGAATTAATTAATAATTAGCTAGTCTTTATTGAAAATAAAACTTTTTTGTGAAATTCTTTTTACTAATAGACAAATTTTAATCTGAATACAATAATGAATGTAGCCATTAGGAATATTAAGTTTCTTGTGACAATCAACACAAACTAAATTGTGTCTAACTTCTGCAATGAGAAAGCTGTAAAGATATATTATGTATGTTACTTACTCATCCTAAACTAATCTCCAATATCATTAAGTTTTTTATTCTTAATGTTTGTTGTTTTTAATATTTTGATTTCCAGAAGCTCATTAGTCTGATTAGTTGAATGAAATTACTGTAACAATACCCAGGCCAAGCTGTCAGTTTTATCATCAGAGGGCTCTAATTATAGAAGCCAATAACCTGTGTAAGTGAACAAAGTCTCAATTTTTTTTTTATGAAAGATCATTAGTTCAGATGATGATTTCGAAATGAGCCTTACTAATCCAAAATAAGGAATGGCTTGACTTCTCATTGCTTTTAAAATTAAAGCATTCTTCTTGAATGCAATTTTGAAAACTGAATGAGGGTAGCCTAGTCCTTTGTAATGACAAGATAGCATGCAAAATATCTATATACTACTAAAACTCTGAGATTGTTTGTTTGCTTGTCTGTAATTAAATACAGTAAAAATGCTGCACAATAGCGCCATATTTGTAATGAAATAAGAATAAAAACAGAATAAAACAAGTTTCGTTAAAATCTGGCTATGAGTTACCAAGTTAGCCCTGTTTTTTGGGTCACTTTCATGAAAATTTCTAGATGAATTTAGGCACATTAGATGATGCCACATATCGGTTTATCTATTTATCTATCTATCTATTTGTTTTCCACCTGATGAAACACTTTAAAATATCTTCTATACAACAATATATGCACAACAGAAATGAAATGATGAGATGAAAATGTGTTATAACAGCGCATAGAAAGAACAACAATAAAATGGACCTACAATATTATTGACTATTTGCAAATAGTAACTATGGAGACGAGGTAATAAAATAAAAATCAAGTCGAGAACAACAAACAACAATTTAA